CATCGGCGTACCGCACTATGTATTTTTTCTCTCTCTCTCTCTCTCTCTCTCTCTCTCTCTCTCTCTCTGTCGAGCACATGCACCTTCTGGTAATCAAGTAAATCACTTAATTTTAAAGTTCATCTTAGGGACCAGTAGGTGACATAGTGGTTAAGGTGCTGGACTCTCACATGGCCAACTGCGGTTCGAGTGCTGGATCTGGCAGCTGGCTTTCTCGCTTTCTCTCTCTTGCTTGCTCTATCCCTCTCTGATCAAATTAAAAATAGAATAAATGAATAAATAAATAAAGTTAAATAAATAATTCTTTCTAAAAATCATATTAAAAAGGGCTGTTTATTTTTAAATAATTCTTTCTAAAAATCATATTAAAAATGGCAATTATTTACATGTTTTATAACAAATTTCCTAAGAAGGAAAGAACTTCCAAGCCACACCTTCGAAGTGCTTAACGAGCGTTATTCACTCCAGATGTCTTACACGTTGGACATTGTTTTTTTTACCCTCCACTAATAACCCTGTATCTTCACCATGAAATTGCAAGCCAGGGGCCAGCGGGTGGCATGGTGGTTAAGGTGCTAGACTCCCACTTAGCAACCACAGTTCAAGTCCTGGACCTGGTGGTTTGAAAGTCATACCGGATGTGTGTGTGCCCGAAATCCCTGGAGGAGAATAGAGGAGAAGAGATTGTGGCATGGCCACCACCCCTGGGAATGGGGGTGACGTCTTACTTTCCCTCTCACTCTTTCTTTCTCTCTCTCTCTCTCTCTCTCTGGTGCACACGCACCCTATGGCAAAAACCTAGAAGAAAAAAATATTGCAAGCCCAAGACCAGGTGACCTTCATGAGGCTGCCTCCCCTGGGAGGCGCTGCGGTAAGGAACCGTTTGCCAGGCTTCTCGTGTGAGCACGTGCCTGCTCCCTCCCTGTAGCAGAGGAACCTGGACCACTTACTTGCCAGAGAGGTCCACGGCCAGCGGGTTGGGAGGAGGAATGATCAGGCTGACGGAAGGCACGAGCATGTCCACGCCGCCCGGGCCCGTCACGTACCACTTGCTGCGCTCATTGTTGTCCTTCAGGATGCACTCGTCCCCCTTGTGCACGATTTTCTGCAAGACAAGCAGCACGTGTGGGCGTTAGTCCTCAGTACCTGTCTCTCTGGCTTTCTTTAACCACTTTTTAGTTTTGCTATAGGACACACGCACTAACTGGGGAGAGAGAGAGAGTGAGAAAGCATCCCCCAGGGAGATGGCCACGCTGTAATCCCGTCTCTTCCATTCTGCTCTTGAGACTTTGGACACGCACACGCAACCTTTGTGTTTTCCAAGCCGCCAGGTCCGGGACTCAAATGGTGTAGTCGGTCATATAGGAACCAGCCACCTTAACCACCACACCAGCAGCTGGCCCTACTGTCAACTTTTTTCTCACAGATAGAAACTGAGATGGTGAGGGACCAGCAATTGGTGTAATGGCTATGTCGCTGGACTCCCATGTAGTCCACCGCAGTTCGAGTCCCGGACATGGTGACTTAAACTCACGCCGGGCGCACGTGCATGTGTGCCCAAGATCCTGAGAGGAGAATGGAGGAGAAGGGATTGCGGCATGGCCATCCCCCCGGGGGGGTGATTTCTTGCTTTCTGTCTCTCTGTCTCTCTCTGTCTTTCTGGCGAGCGCGTGTACCCTATGGCAAAAATAAAACCTCTCAAAAAAAAAACAAAAACAGAAACTGAGATAGTGAAACTATAGCAGATGGCATAGTGGTTGAGGTGCTAGACTCCCACATGGCCAACCACAGTTCAAGTCCTGGACCTGGTGGCTTACTTTCTCTTACTTTCTCACTTACTCTCTCTCTCTCTCGCTGATCAAACTGGAAAATAATAATAATAAATCATTCTTTTTTTTAAAAAAAAAGACTGATGTCAGAAATAGGAGTAAAATATATATATATACATCTTTCCATTTCCAAACTAGAAATAAAAAATTATTGATGACAATAACATACATGATTAAGCCCCTATGCAGTATATTCTGGATGGGAAATCACATTTTGTATACTGTGATGATGTTTAGGGAATGAATATAAATTAATTTAAAAAAAGGAAAAATAGGGAACCAGCAGTTGCTTTCTGTCTCTATGTCTCTCTCTGTCTGTCTGGCAAGCGCACGCGCCCTATAGCGAAAAAAACTCTCCAAAATAAAAAAAAGACTAATTTACGATTTCATAATTACACACTGTATACGTGCTAGGAAAACCATACTGTACTCTAGACACAGAAAATAATAAATAAATAATAAAGTTAAAAGAGAAAAAACAAACAAAGCTGCTATATTTGTTCAACAGCTCACTACTTGATTTATAAAAGAAAAAAGCACTGATGTTGGTGCTTATTGAAACCTGGATTAAGGTTTGCCCCTTTGAGTGACAAAAATCCGTATGTGAAGAAAGAGAAAACTGTTGCGCCGTCCTGAGAAACTGCGCACACACCTGGTCTTGCTTGTAGTCACAGAGGGCCCGGAGAATGATGGGTTTATTGCTCCTGTAGTCGGGGTTACGCGGTTTCAGTTGTACAATCTTCTTGGACTTGTTTACCAAGTTCTGCACCTGACGCTTATATTCAAGGATTTTCTCTCGTTCTTTCTGCAATCGCAAATAAAATCATACTTGGGCACGGAGACCCTCGGGGTTTTAGATAAGCTGTTCAAATGACATTAATGTAGCCACGGCCACGTTAAAAATGACTTATCACGGGAGTTGCATCAGCTACTGTAGAAAGCCACAAATTCATCCCCAGGGAATATGAGAACCTTCCCTAATAAACACCCCCAAAGGCTGCACAGCTGTGAAAGAAAACCCTGGTGTGAAAGGACTACAGTGATAAAACGTCAAGGGCGCTTTCCCAAAGAAAATGTCAAGTAATCCGTGTTCTCTCTGTTCGGGATTTTCAGCAAACCTCTCAACTAAAGCCAACGTAATTCTCAACAGTGATTGAGCATGTAACCGAATGAATCCATTTTGGGGAAAAGCCACTGACAGGGGAGATGCTGGCTTGACTCTGGGTGTGTTGTACAATGACAAATCAGCGGTGTGAGCTGCGTCTGGGGGTGGGTCTCGTCTCCCCCCGGGTGTGGCCGCGGAGGTTCTGGGTGTGACATGCTACCTCCAGCTCTTTGATCTGTTCCAGCAGGTGCTGCAGCGGCATGTTCTTGTCGCAGGGGTACTTCTTCCTGATGGAGTCCTGGAGGCCCTTCAGGTACGCTTCTGTCGAATGAGCCTCTTCAAAAAACTGTTGAGGATGAGAGTGATCACAAGTCAGTATCAAGCATCTCAATAAGAAAATCATCTATTAGTGTTACTGCAAGGAACTATCATCTTTAAGCCTTTTTCTTGGGGGCCGGCAGGTACATGGTGGTTGGGGCATTGGACTCCCACATGGCAGACCATGCTTTCAGTCCTGGACCTGGCAACTTGCTTTCTCACTTGCCCTCTCTCTCTGTCTCTCTCTGGTCAAATTAAAAAGTAATGATAATAATAAATAAATTTGAAATCTTTTTTTTTTAAAAAAAAGGCTTTTTTTCTTGGTTAAGTAGCCAAAGGAAAAAGACTGCAGCAGAAAAGTATCTGCGTAATGTGGCAACAAGAGATTATGAATGATGTGACCAGATTACAAACTTATGTCCCTCTAAACTCAAACTCAGTACATAGGATGTATGCACTCTTTTGAAGATTGTTTCCAGTGCTTTTAAAAACACACTCAAGGAGCCAACAGGTGGCATGGTAGTTAAGGTGCTGGCCTCCCACATGCCTACTGTGGTTTGAGTCCCGGACTCAGCAGCTTGAAAATCATGCTGGACATATACAGCAAAAATCCCAAGAAGAAGGTGGAGGAAAAGGAATTGCAGCATGGCCATCCCCCTGGGGGGTGACTTCTTAAGTTCCCTCTCTCTGTATCTCTCTGTCTCTCTTCTATTCAAAGAATGCATGCACCTTATGACAAAAACTTGAAAAACAAAACCAAAATAACAAAAAAAACACCCAGTTGAGGGGCCAGCAGATGGCACAGTGGTTACACTGTTGGACTCCCACATGGCCAACCACAGTTCAAGCTCCAGACCCAGTGGCTTCAAAATCATGCCGGGTGCGTGTGCATACATACTAAAGATCCCATGAGGAGAATGGAGGAGAAAGGACTATGGCATGGCCATCCCCACTGGAGGGTGATTTCTCGCTTTCCCTCTCACTGCCTCTGTCTCTCTTTCTCAGGTGAGCACACATGCCCTACGGCAAAAGCCTCTTAAACACACACATACATGCTCAAATGATAAACTATTAAAACTTAACAGAGGAAGCCAGATGATGGTATTAATTGGTAACACTGCATTCACATGGGTAAGGTCCCAGGTTCACCTCCCGGGACATCCCTGAACACACAGGCCTGTAAAAGGCTAGCTGCAGGGTGCATGTGGTAGGAAAAACACTACTGGGGTTGCCTGCCTGTCCCTCTCTCTTTCTCTTGTGGAAGAACCAAATTAATCAACTTTTCTAAAAAAGACTTAAAAGACTTGAAATTATAATTAAGCATAAAAACCTGAAAATAGGCTGCGTTCTCTTTGAGATGAACATCGATGCATTTGGTGATCTGAAGAATCCAGCTCCACTGCGTCTGAAGAGTGTCCATGTAGGCCTGAAATGAGAAAACGTCAGCTCCCTTAGACCTGCTCAGCCTTAAACAGGTATGTGAGCCGGAACGAAAGCTAGAAAACCATCTTTATCTAATTCTACAGGAGGCGACTCTGTCTAAAAATCGAAAACAGATGTCCATCAGAGAATTCTTGGTAAGACAGAAACCACTGCTGATATATTTTAAAATCAATTTTCATGGGACCAGCAGTTGGCGTAATGATTATGTCGCTGGACTCCCATGTAACCGACTGTGGTTCAAGTCCCAGACCTGGTGGCTTAAACTCACGACGGGTGCATGTGCGTGCGTGCCCAAGATCCCAAGAGGAGAATGGAGGAGAAGGGATTGCGGTGTGGCCATGCCCCCAGGGGGGTCATTTCTCGCTTTCTGTCTCTCTGTCTCTCTCTCTTTCTGGTGAGCACACACGCCCTATAGCAAAAACCTCTCTCAAAAAAATATCAATTTTCACAGATACTATTAGGAGTATTAGTCAAACATGAATTAACCACAGGATACAGCTCGTCAGAACAGCCACTGGGAGAACCCTGGAGCAGAGTCCCTCTGCCTCACCAAGCCCTGGCCCTACATAACTGTTACATATGGATGAGGTCTGAGGAATCCTACTGGAGAGATTGGGGGGCTTAAGCACTGATTCTCTCCAACTGATATGGAAGTTGTGATTTTTTTTTATTTTTTAACAAGCAATATGGCCATACCAGAGCTCCAAGCTAATGTCACCCTTGAGTATAGCCAACAGATGGCAGCCTAGAACAAGTGTCAGCAAACTATAGCCCAAGGGCCACAAGTGGCCACTTCTTCAATTTTTAAATAAAGCTTTATTGAAACACAGCCATGCTCATTCATTTACCTGTCACTATGGCTGTGCTCCAATGGCAGAGGTTAAGTAACTGCAAGAGACCAAATGGCCCATAAGTTTAAAATATTTGTTACTGGACCTTTCCAGAAATGTTTGCCAACCCCTGGCCGAGGGGATTGATCCCAAAATAGAAAATAAAGTTGGCATGGCCTTACGGTAGATAAGAATCATTCATTTGCCCAGTCTTAACCTTACGAAGTATTGTTCTTTCCTAACGAAAAGAGAAATCCCATGAAACCGACCTCGATCTTGTCCGAAGCTGGGTGCTGATTGAGGACGAGTTGGTCACTTTCTTGTTTCAGCTTATTGAGCTCCTTTTCCTTGACCTCCAGCTGACTCATACGTATCTGTGTGAGAGAGAAGTCCTTGAGAGCATAAGTCATGGTTCTGACTCTCCTCCCACAGCAGCTAAAGAAAGTGCAACGAAAAACCACTTGGTCAATAAACCGTGCCCAAATCACAGCATTTTTAAGGCTGAAAGAATATTCGAGATTACAGAGTAGGTGGCAGAGGCCAGACCTGCGACAAGGGCGTATCCAAGATCACCCAGGGAAAAGCGACAGCATGACAACTGCTTCTGAGATTTCTTTTTTTTTTCTAATTCCAGGCTTCAATCCACCCTACTCCAGGGCTGGCCCCTCTATTAGGTTCAATGAATAAACCAAGTCTTACCCTACCTAAACAAACCACCACGTGCTGGGATAGTAAACAATGGACGGTCCCTCTGGCCACTGAAAGGACTAGGAAGGAATGGTTTTTCCATGGTCATTTCAAGTGAGGCTGAATTACACAAGTGGCTGATTAGATTATTAGAAGGCCACGCATCACCCCCTTGCAGTCTTCTCAGGCCACAAGAGGACACAAGCATCGAGAGTGAGGGGTGTGGGCGCTCACAGAGAAGGCCTCCTGTTTCTGGGCAATGTTGGTGTTCCTATCGCTCCAGTCGTAGAGCAGCTCCTCCTCCTCACAGTCGTTGATCCACATGATCTCTCGGGACGTGGCCTGGATGATGCTCTGCAGCTGGCGCAGGTGGTCCATCCTCTCAAAGGACGCTTTCTGCACAGGAGTTCAAAAGCAGCGTTAGAGGGGCCAGTAGGCAGCGTAGGGTTTAAGGTGCTGAACTCCCACATGGTCGACTCTGGTTTGAATCCCCAACCTGGTAGCTTCATTTCTCACGTTCCCTCTATCTCTCTCTATCTCTGATGAGTGCATGGGCCCTATAGCAAACTTAAAAATAATAATAATGATAATAAGTAAATATTTAGACAACAACAGTAGAATAACAATAGGCATGGGGCCCAGCAGGTGACGTGGTGGTTAAGGTGTAGACTCCTACATGGCTGACCGTCGTTTGAGTCTGGAACCTGGAGACTTGCTTTTTCCCTTTCTCTCTCTCTCTTTCTCTGTCAAACTAAAAAATAATAAAATAAACGAAATAAAATAGCTCAAAAATTAAGAAAAGAATAACGATATGCAGATGGATGGTGTTCTATTGCAGATTCCATAAAATAAACCCCTTCAGTCCCTTTTACAAAAAAACAAACAAACAAAAAAACCCACAAGTATCAGTAAAATATTAACGCTCACAATCTCGCAATCACCAACTAGCTGGTGCGGAAAAAGGCCCTGTGTACATCTGCAACAAAGACGACCATTTAGTGTCAAATTGCCTAATTCCAGAGGGTCCCGATTCAGATACTGATGTTTGGGCTCAACAATTATAACATTTTTAAACTTTAAAGGGAGAAATGGACTTGCAGAGATCAAGCAAGCTTTTCCTGCCCTCTCCCTCTCCCACCAAAAGGCATGGGGTCATCAGTCACACCCACCCCTGAGGGGGAAACTGTTGTGTCACCATTAGCCATGTTATTTTTAATCGCTGCAGACCAGGTGGTGGCGCAGCTGATCCACATGCAAAGGGCCTGGGTTCACATCCAAGGCCTTCCTGAGCACGTCAGGGTGTGCATGCCCGGGATCCAGGTGACAGATGCTGGGGCGGGTCATGGTGAGAGGGCTTTTTTGGGAGTGGTTCTGTTTCTGTCTCTCATGAAAGAAATTAAAACAGAAAGAAAGAGGGACCAGCAGTTAGTGTAATGGTTATGTCGCTGGACTCCCACGTAGTCAACCACAGTTCAAGTCCCGGACCCGGTGGCTTAAACTCACGCCAGGCACGTGTGCATGTGTGCCCAAGATCCCAAGAGGAGAATGGAGGAGAAGAGATTGTTGTGTGGCCATCTCCTCCTGGGGGGTGATTTCTCACTTTCTGTCTCTCTGTCTTCCTGGCGAGCGCACGCGCCCTATAGCAAAAACCTCTCAAAAAAGAAAGAAAGAAAGAAAGAAAGAAAGAAAGAAAGAAAGAAAGAAAGAAAGAAAGAAAGAAAGAAAGAAAGAAAGAAATGTAGAAAAAGTATACTGCCAAAAAAGGAGGTATTGAAAAAGGGACAGGGTGATACAACCAGGCAGGAGATGGAAATCTCTCCTCCTCTTAAAAGTCAAGTAATTGCTACAGAGTCTGTCATGAAACGGTGATGACGTTCTGGTAGACCTCTGTGTGAAGAAAATAAGCTCATATTTTGCTTAAAATTCATTTTAAAAAGCCACGATTCACAAGTGCCAAAGCTTTATGGCTTTTACTACAGGTATTTTTTTAAAGAATTATTTTTTATTTAACTTTATTTATTAATTCATCCATTTTAATTTGACCAGAGGAGAGAGAAAGGAGAGGGAAAGTGAGAAAGCAAGCCACCAGGTCCAGGAATCGAACCAAGATCAGCCATGTGGGAGTCCAGCACCGTTAACCACCACACCACCTGCTGGCCCTTACTACAGGTATTTAACCAGTGACATTGACGTGATACAACTTGCAAGTATAGGTACTGTCTTCAGAAAAAATCATTTACAACTCCCTTCTAAAGGAAACTCAGCAGTTGGCACCTGGGGGGCCAGCAGGTGGCATAGTGGATAAGGCACCAGACTCCCATGTGGCCAACTGTGGTTCCATTCCTGGACCAGGTGGCTTGAAACTCACAATGGGTCTATGTGCACGCATGTCCAAAATCCTGAGGGGAGAGTGGAAGAGAAGGAATTGCTCTGTGGCCACCCCTCAGGGCAGTGATTCCTTGCTTTCTATCTCTCTGTCTCTCTTTCTGGAGAGCACACGTATTCTATAGCAAACATTTCTTAAAAAAAAAAAAAAAATGAAAGAAAGAAAGTAATTAGCACTGAGGAGTACTGAAGGATATTTTTGAGCCAACTAAGTGCTTCCCCACCTGGAGGGGCCAGGACTTCCAGAACTGAACCGAACTGAGAACAGACTCTGCACCTAAGAACTAGGTCGACTTACCAGCAGGTTTTCATACTCCTCCTCCAGCTGGTAGATGGCAGACTTCTCACGCTAGAAGACAACAAAAAGAGGTATTGATTTCATTCCTCTTGGACACTTCTAGTGGTCCCTCAGACCTCCTCCCTGTCAGGTACTGGCCTCTGACCCCTTAGTAGATGTCCCAGCAGGTATGAAGGCAGGTTTGTGGTCCTCACCACAAAACAAAAAGCAGACACTGTTACTTAAAGGCTCCCTGGTAACAAACTCTTTAAGAACTTTCAAAATACAATGTAGGATTCCCTAGATCTTCAAGAAATGGGGGAGGAAGTTGGTCACCTGTCTCAAGTGGACCAAAGTATGGGGGTTAAAAAAAAAAAAGCTGCAAAAAAGGAGGGTAAGTAGGAAGTATCAGAATGGGATGCAATTCGTTTTCTGTAGACACATTTGCCTGACCATCTAGGAAAGGATTTACCGACACAAACCACAAGGGAGTCTTCAAAGAATCCCTGCAACACGTATACCACGAAAAACCGCATGTAGGCACTTCAAAAATATTTTGCACCAGAATGAACTCGTATTTTCACTCCATTTTCCCACTAACTTTTTTATAGTACCCGTATAGATAAATGCTGCATTTTCTCTCCTGCGAGACATACCCAGCTTCCTGCAGGAACTACAACCCCCTCGAATTTATACACAAATTGCAAACAAACGAGGGTGTGCTTGCCCTTTGCCTTTGGTTTAACTGCTCCCCTAGAGTGTTAACACACTCTCCAGAGCTATCGGATTCTACTTCCCCATTTATAAAATGGGATTTTTTCAGAACTTTCCAGTCTCCCGGGTGAGAAATAATAGCCCCGTGTTTCAAACCGAATCTCCGGGATAGAGTAATGACACCATCCTTCAGGAAGCGTGTCCAGGAATCTACAAGGAAACATGGAAGAGTACCAGGTCGGCTTTAATTTTGTCCAGCTGCCAGCGGTAGTCTCCGATGGCGTTGTGGATGACTCTGTGGCTGTTGATGTGCTGCTCCACCGAGCCCGGGTCCACACCCCAGGCCACCAGGTCCATCTCCGCCTGCAGAGGAAAGAGCAGGAGTGGAGGCTTCCCTTCTGGCTTCTTTGTTTCCCCTCACCCACCCTCATCCGGGTCAAAGTCGCAGGGAACATGCACAGCTCTGCCTAAGACACAACCAAAGACACAGGGGGCCGGACGGCGGCGGTGCAGCAGTCACAAGATGCTCTGCAATGCTAAACCCACATAAGGAGGTCCTGGGTTCGAATGCCAGGGCCTCACTGTGCAGCCAGGTGCACCTGTGTGCACGTGATTCATGTCGGATAGGTGAGGAATGGGTGAAGGTTGGGGGGATCACGGCATGAAGACCTGCTGAAGGTGCTGCCTCCTTTCTCTCACATGGAAGAAATAAACTTTTCAAAAAATTAAACAACAATGGGGCCAGCCAGTGGTATGGTGGTTAAAAGTGCTGGACTTCCACATGGCCATCTCTGGTACGAGTCCTAGACCAGGCAGCTTGCTTTCTCACTTTCCCTTTCTCTCTCTCTCTCTGTCTTCTCTGGTCAAATTAAATAATAATAATAATGGATAAAGTTGAATAAATAATCCTTTAAAAAAAAACTTAAACAACAAAAATAGAAAAACTAGAAGCCAGCAGATGGCATAATGGTTATGTTGCTGGACTCCTACCTGGTGGCTTAAAACTCACACCAGGTGCGTGTGTGTGCATGCCTAAAATCCTGAAAGGAGAACAGAGAAGAGATTGCAGTATGGCTATCCTGCCTGGGGGGGGGAGGTGATTTCTCACTTTCTGGCCCTATGTCTCTGTCTCTGTCTCTCTGATGAGCACGTGTGCCCTATAGCAAAAATCTCTCTTAAAAAAAAATAGTTTACTTATTTTACTTTGAGAGAAAGAGGACCCTCGACACAGTCTAGTCATGCCACAGTCTCTTGGGACAACCCAGGATCCTAATCACGGTCTTCCATATGGTTCCCAGCACTGCAGGCTGGCACCCCACCACCTGCACCACCACAGCTGGGCCAATTTTTCGCTGCTTACGTCCAGCATTTGACATTCCGATTCAGGACGCACAACTCACTATGGCCCATTTCAAAAGGAAGCTAGTACATCTCTCTCAAGGTCTTCATTTTAATGAACGTCAGCAATATTAAGATTTTGCAGATACATGTTAGCTTTTTAAAAGTTACGTCTGACCGGACCAGCAGTTGGCGTAATGGCTATGTCGCTGGACTCCCATGTAGTCGACCGCAGTTCGGGCCCCAGACTCGGCTTAAACTCATGCCGGGTGCGTGTGCGTGTGTGCCCAAGATCCCGAGAGGAGAATGGAGGAGAAGAGATTGCGGCGTGGCCATCCCCCCTGGAGGATGATTTCTTGCTGTCTGTCTCTCTGTCTCTGTCTTTCTGGCGAGCACACGCACCCTATAGCAAAAACCTCTCCAAAAAAAAAAAAAAAGTTACGTCTGACTACATTTATTATCTAGGCCTCATTGGAGAATGCCTCATAATAAGAATCAAACACATTGCCCCATGAGTTTCGCACCAGGGAAAGCGCATGATCTCATCCTCCTTTTGCATGAGTTCATGCGGATTTCCAAACCACCTGTGTCATCACTGGTACATGCCAAGAGCAAACATTCCAGCCTGGGATCACAGCGAGCACATAATGCACATTGTTCTAAGCCGCATCCATGTTTGCCTAGACTTGGCAAGACTTCAGAAAGGCGGGCCATTTCAGAGTCCCGGGACTGTGACCCTTCTCCCCACAGCTGCACAGGCTGTAAAAGAGCAACAGCCAGGTGCGTGCCCCGGGAAGTCGGCGAGGTGACCAGGCCCGAGATCACACTGCTCATTACCGGCCAGGTGTACAGTATCTGACCTGTCCATCAGCAGAAACACGAGTCAGGGAAACAAAACAAAACGCTGGCACAGCCGATGCCTGCCAGCCTCCTGATTGTGCTGCTGGGAAACAGCTCCCTTATCAGCTGGGCCTGGCAGCCGGGTCTCCAGGGAGGGAGGGAAGAATGCAGGCTATGTGTGGAAGAAAGGAGAAGCGGAAAAGGGCCCGAGAGACCCACAGAGCAAACCTGCAAGTCTGCAGCCTTTAGTTCGTTTCAAAACTGTGGGGGTTGCTGGCCTGATCTAAAAAGTCTTAACTCATAAGACCAGCAGTTAGCGTAATGGCTATGTCGCTGGACTCCCACGTAGTCGACCACGGTTTGCGTCCCGGACCTGGTGGCTTAAAACTCACGCGTGTGCGTGCGTGCCCAAGATCCCAAGAGGAAAATGGAGAAGGGATTGCAACGTGGCCATCCCCCCTGGGGGGTGATTTCTCGCTTTCTGTCTTTCTGTCTCTCTCTGTCTGTCTGGCGAGCGCACTCGCCCTATAGCAAAAACCTCTCCAAAAAAAGAAAAAAAAAATTAAAATAAAGAAATAAAGTTAAATAATTCTTTTTTTAGAAAAAAAGAAAATGACATAAAACTGACTTTGTGTGATGATGCCTTTATCTAAAATTATACAATGTAGAGCCTGTACTACAAAGAATTGTTTAAAAAGTTATGCCCAGAGCCAGCAGATGGCATAGTGGTTAAAATGCCGGACTCCCACCTGGCTGACCGTGGTTCGAGTCCCAGACCTGATGCCTTGCTCTCTCACTTTTCATCTCTGTCTCTCATCAAATAAAATTAATTAATTAATTAGATGAAAACAAATAATAATTTTTTTTAAAAAAAGCTATGCCCAGAATGAATACAGAAAATGACAAAATTATATATCACATTCTGTAACTGCCAAGAATATATCTTTAAAAAGTTTGTGGGGGGATCAGCAGATGACGCAATAATTACGACGCTGGACTCCCACATAGTCAACTGTGATTTGAGTCCTGAACCTGGTGGCTTAAAACTCACTCTGAGCCTGTGTGCATGAATGCCCAAAATCCCAACAGGAGAAAAAAGGGATTGAGTCATGACCATCCTCCCAGGGGGCGATTTCTCGCTTTCTATCTCTCTGTCTCTCTGGCGAGCGCATATACCCTAGTGCAAAACTCTCTATTTAAAAATAAATAAATAAAAGTCCATGGAAAATTCATATCATGAAAAATTATGTATAGGTTTTGAATTTTTTGCACAAATATAAACTCACATCTTAACTCCATCTTCCATAAACTTTTGAAGTCTCCTCATCTATTAGCAAATATCTACTACTGAGCCCCATTCACTCTGCCAAGTCTACTTTTGACCTCTCTGTTCCACACAGGCTGGGCACCCCTCTCCTTCACTCCCAACCAAGCAAGATGTTCTCACGTGACAGTTACATACACCCTAATCTGGTTAGAATTGTGGCATTTGGATGAATGGATCTTATTTTATTTCATAATATTTATTTACAGGACTATGAACCACAAATTTCCGAATCCTCAGTTTCTAGTGTGGTGTCAATACATATAAAATACTCAAAGATTTGAAGGGAATTTGAAACAGATTTGTATTTAGGTTTCGTTTTCTTGGGTATTTGGGGGGGTTTTTTGGTTTTTGGTTTTTGTTTTTTTTGAGAGATTTTTGCTACAGGGCGCATGCTCTTGCCAGAGAGACAGAAAGACAGAAAGCAAGAAATCACCCTCCAGGAGGGATGGCCACCCTGCAATCCCTTCTCCTCCATTCTCTTCTCAGGATTTTGGGCACGCATGCACATGTACCCGGTGTGAGTTTTAAGTCGCCAGGTCCAAGACTCAAACCGTGGTCGATTACATGGGAATCCAGCCACGTAACCATTACGCCATCTGCTGGTCCCTGTACTTAGGTTTTTAGGCTTGTAACTGAGTCCTCCTCTACGATCCTTGGTAGTCTTCATACTAAATGAGAGGAAAAAAATGAACTGAATGAATGAAGAAGTGGAATGAAAGACTGCTCAGCTGCAAAAGCCCTTCTTCCTTAAGAAAGAATGCACGCAAAACTCTGAAAGTGGTTGGGAAATTTTAGAAGCACTGCCGAGCTGTCCCCACGACTAACCAAACCAGCTCTCTCACGACCACATCCCCTCACGAGTGATCTCTTCCCAGCTTATCTATCGCCTGACATATCCGCCTTCTCAAGAGCAGGATGGGTCATTAGCAGAAGGTTTTCATCATACAATCCCACTGATGTGATGACGGTACATGGTTGGGGCCACCTGTTCATTACGGGGCATAATTACTACATGCAACAACAGAGCGATAATTAGCACTGAAAAATACTTTGTAGAAACTCCATTCCTAGAGAAAGGCTCAGACATACTCCGGCCATTTTTTTTTTTTTCACGCCCACACCAGGGACATGATGGTTGCACAACCAGACAACTGACACTTCAGAAATATGCAGTCAGGAGCCAACGAAGGCAAACCAGAATAACCAGCTTGGCGGTGTTTCCAGCTCCCGCAACCTGTCCACCTTCCTTCCCAATCAGGAACACAGAGGAGCTAAGTCAGACACCAACGGAACCAACTGATTTAGTATATCGGCTTCCACAGCAGATGTTTCCAGCTGTGAACAATCAGGACCTTCCAAATCTACTCATTGAAGGACCAGCAGTTGGTGGGTATCATGGCTATGTGACTGGACTCCTATGTAGTTGACTACGGTTCAAATCCCAGGCTCAGTGGCTTAAACTCATGCTGGTGTGCATGTAATGTATGCCCAAGATCCCAAGAGGAGAATGGAAGAGAAGGGATTGTGGCATGGCCATCCCCCTCGGGGTTGATTTCTCGCTTTCTGTCTCTCTGTCTCTCTCTGTCTTTCTGGCGAGCGCACATGCCCTATAGCAAAAACTTCTCAAAAAAAAAAAAAATCTACTCATTGAACTATGCCTGTTAGATATTTCCTGCGGGAAAAGCATGCCTAAAAAACAAGGAGACTGCTTTCCTCAGTCACATGGGACAAGAAAATAATACTGCCTGAAATGTAACTCCTTTCTACATAGAAGGCTGTTTCCAGGCTGTGTGGGAAGAGAAGTCCGAACGCAGGAAGTTGTTGCTCCCCCGAGGTCTACACAGCTCGCCTGTCACAGGTTGGAGGTGTTCAAGGACCCAGGCTTTCCACTGGGAAGCTGCTTACCCTTTGCTGCCGCATCCACCCCAAGCACTCGCTGGTGAGGCGCTTGGTGAACTCGTCCCAGCCGGAGCCGCTCTGACAAGTGTATCCTCCTCCGCCCTTGGAGCTGGCCCTTCGGGCTCGAGGGGCACTAATGGCCTTGTACAGGGCTCGCATTTGCTCCTGGAGCTGAAGCAGCCTGCAGGAGAGGAAATCGATTACACCAGTGCAGGCAAACAGACCGCAGGATACTGTCTGACCACATGCCTCCATCCTGAGTCTCCTTCATGTCAGTACAAGGGGAGTTCAAAGACGTGTGGAGGACCAGCAGGGGTTGTGGTGGTGAAGGCACTGGATTCCCACATGGCCAACCACGGTTTGAGTCCTGGATCCAGCAGCTTTAAAATCACACCGGGCATGGGGCCGGCAGGTGGTGTGGTGGTTAAGGGCACTGGACTTCTGCATGGCTGACCATGGTTCAAGTCCTAGACCTGGAGGCTTGCTTTCTTTCTCCCTCTTTCTCTCTGTCCCCCTCTGGTCAAATTAAAATACATAAATAAAGTTAAATAAAATAATTATTTTTTTAAAAAATCACACTGGGCACATATGTATATGCCCCAAACCCCAAGAGAATGGAGGAGAAGGGATTTACAACATGGCCATTCTCCTAGGGTGGTGATTTCTCACTTTCCCTGTCTCCAGGGAACACACACACCCTATGGCAAAAACCTAAAAAAAAAAAAAAAAAAAAAAAGTGTGTGGATAAATGTTGGGCTGGGCTGGGCATGAATGTGAGTGCCCAGGACCCTACAGACTGGGAGACTAGAAGAAGAAGGTCACAGTGTGATGAAACCCTGTGGAGAGTGGTCCTCTCTCGCTCTCCCTCTCTCTCTCTCTTTCTCACACGTGCACCATGTATCCAATCATGAATGAAGAAATCTTTTTTTAAATTTGTATGGAAAAAAAATGGAACTCAAGTATGAGGTTATTATGGTGCAAAAAAGAATTATTTTTTGATTTTTCACGAACTTTTCGAAGACCTCGCCATACAGAGGCCACCAATATTATACTGGAAGATTTTTGTTGTTTTTGTTTTTGTTTTTGCCATACACAGAGAGAAAGAAAGTGAGAAATCAGCCCTGAGGGGGGGGTGGCCATACCACAATCCCTTCTCCTCCATTGTCCTCTAAGGATTTTGGGCATGCACACACAGGCACCTGGTGCGATTTTCAAGCCACCAGGTCCAGGACTCGAACCATAAAGTTGGCCATATGGGATCTGGTTGCTTTAACCACCATGCCACAGACTGGCCAATGTATTTGAAGGTTTTTTTTTTTTTTTCCTTACCCATGACTTAAATTTTGATCACATACAAATAAATAAATAAATAAATAAATAAATCTTAGAAAGATATTCAAAGCCTGAAGCATCAAGGAAAGTCTCACTGCCTTTGCCTAACCTGGTAGCACCTTTCACTTTCTTGTGAGTTTCATCCTAGGGAATTTTCTAGTACCCTGGGCCCCAGGTGGCATGTCAGCAAATGCAGACTACACCTCTCAGCTGTAAGTTCATCGTTTCCAACTCTAAGAGTCTTATTTTTGTATTCATTACACTGAGTTCAATTTTGAGATCAGGCTCTTAAGAAAACTAAATACTGGGGCTGGCAGGTGGTGTGGTGGTTAAAGTACTGGATTCCCACATGTCCAAAGGCAGTTCGAGTCCCAGACCTGGAGGCTTGCTTTCTCACTTTCCCTTTCTCTCTCTCTCTCTGTCTTTCTCTCACATTTAAAATAATAATAACAACAAATGGAATTGAACAAATAAATAATTCTTCAAAAAGAAAAAGAAAATCTAAATGCTATGCCAAAGGTCTTTGCTGCCCCCTAAACAGAGGTCCAGTTAGCATACCAACGTGAGCTCAACTCTTCAGAATAAGAGCTAAGAACTAGAGACTAGCCATGGTGGCACAGCGGCCTCTAAGTGCTCAGTGATGGTGAATCTGCACAGGAAGGTTGGCCAGCTCTCATCTCTAGGGCTCCCCTGCATACGCACACCTGTGACCCAGGGTGACAGAGGCTGAGCGTGGACCACAGCTCCTCTCAGGAGTGTCTGTTTCTAAGGAAATTAAAAAAAAAAAAAAAAGGGACCAGCAATTGGCATAATGGCTATGTTGCTGGACACCCATGTAGTCGACCACGGTTCGAGTCCCGGACCCAATGGCTTAAACTCATGCTAGGTGTGTGTGCGTGCGTGCCTAAGATCCCAAGAGGAGAATGAAGGAGAAGGGATTGAGGTGTGGCCATCCCCCCTGGGGGGCGATTTCTCGCCTTCTGTCTGTCTCTCTCTGTCTTTCTGGCAAGCACATGTGCCCTATAGTAAAAACTTCTCCAAAAAAAAAAAAACTTTGGAAAGAAAAGGAGAGAAGAATTGGAGTTTTGAACGGTCACACTCACTTGAGCTGATCTGTTTAATTCTTCTCAGGACTGCTTTTGAGTCCACAAAAGATGAAGACAGAGGCTTTTTTGTATGGGAGATACATAAGCTGCAGAAGGCCAAGCAAGCAAGCCTTTCCTAGGGAACATGCATGCTTCCTCCAGAGGAAGAGACCAGTTCACGGACCGAGTGTGGCTGGGTGTGCACCCTTCCGCTGGAGAGGCCTGCCTGGTCCCCCTCTGCCCGCCGTACCTTTTCTGATAAGCATCGCAGGGCTGGCCCATCTGCCGCATTTCTCTGACCAAGCTGTCAGCAATTTCCATGTGGTCGTTGGCCTGAGCAAAATACTCGTCCAATTCTCTGCTCCGAGCCAGCTGTATCCCATCTCCGTATTTCAGTTCCTGGCAAGACAAAATTCACATGAAGGAGAATCCATATCACGGAAAGAAATGCTTCACGTGTTAATGGACACAAAGCCCTTTCCTGTAAACACGACAAATAAAGGGCCCTCCCACCTCAAACCTGCAAGAGATTTCTTTCTTTTTCTGAAAGGTTTTTGCTATAGGGTGTGTGTGCTTTCCAGAGAGACAGAGATAGATAGAGAGATAGAAAGCGAGAAATCACCCCCCAGGGGGGATGGCCACACCACAATCCCTTCTCCATTCTCCTCTCAGGATCTTGGGCACACACGCACATGCGCCCAGCGTGAGTTTAAGCCACTGGGTCCTGGACTCAAACTGTGGTGGATTACATGGGAGTTCAGCCACATAGCCATTATGCCAACTACTGGTCTTCCTGCAAGAGATTTCTAACTAAAAATGATCTTACCATTTTGAGATGAGGATGTTAATAAAGGGAGATTTACGAACCAAAATTTATAGACTGCCTTTTAAATGTTCCCTTGACTTTAAAAAGTATGTTTACAGGGAACAGCAGATGGCATAATGGTTACGTTGCTGGACTCCCACATATTTGATTGCAGTTCGAGTCCCAGACACGGTGACTTAAAACTCATGCCGGACATGCGTGTGTGCCCAAAAATCCCAAGAGGAGAATGGAAGAGGAGGGATTGTGGTCCCTCTGGGGGGTGATTCTCGTTTTCTGTCTGTCTCTCTGGTGAGTCCACGCACCCTAGAACAAAAATCTCTGTTTAAAGAAAAAAAGTATATGTACAGAGTGCTTATCTTTCCCTTGTTTCAACATCTTAAATGTGGATCTTATGTATTTAAACAGAACTCTCATCCAAGGAGAATCTCACCGTGATAAAATCACTATCGTTCTCATGGATAAGGCCTTTTACACAAAACCAAGATTTGGCAGGTGGTGTGGTGGTTAAGGCACGAAACTCCTACATGACCGACCATGGTCCAGGTCCTGGACTGGGCAGCTTGAAAATCACACCAGGTTGGGCCGGCAAGTGGCGTGGTGGTTAAAGTGCTGGATTCCCACATGGCTCAACTCTGGTTTGAATCCCAGATCTGGTAGCTCACTTTCTCACTTTCCTCCTCTTCCTGTCTCTCTCACTCTATGGTCAAATTAAAAAATAATAACAATAAATGAAAGTAAATAAATAATTATTTTTTTAAAAAATGAAGAAGAAAAATCACACTGGGCGCATGTGTGCACACACCCAGAATCCCTAGAGGAGAGTGAAGAAGGAACTGCTGGTGGCCATACCCCCGGGGGGGTGATTTCTCACTTTCTCTCTCTGTGTCTGTCTTTCTCTTTGGTAAGTAAACATGCTCTATGACAAAAACTTAAAATAAGGGACCACAGATGGCCTAGTGGCTATGTCGCTGGACTCCCACATAGTCTACCACAGTTCGAGTCCCAGACCCACAGCTTGAAACTCACGTCATGCGTGTAAGTGTGCGTGCCCAAGATCCCGAGAGGAGAATGGAGGAGAAGGGACTGCAGCGTGGCCATCCCCCCTGGGGGGTGATTTCTTGCTTTCTGTCTCTGTCTCTGTCTTTCTGGCAAGCGCACGTGCCCTATAGCAAAAACCTTTCCAAAATAATAATAATAATAAATAAAGTTAAATAAAATTATTCATTAAAAATAAAATCACACAAGCAACAATTGATGCGATTTCAAAAGGATGGCCATTTGGAATGTAAACATTTGTTGTGGGGGGAAAATTGCACTTGAAAATTGGTCCTCATTTTTGGACCAGCATTACGAATAGGTTAAGAAGATAAACATCCCTCTAGTTCATGCAGGAAAAGGTCCTCTACAAACACAAAGCATGCAAAAGGCATCCGTGAATGGGCTGTGGGCCGGAGGCCGAGCTAACCCAGGAAGGACAGGTGTGGACGGCCCTTTCGGAGGCGCAAGGAGGCGAGGCGAGCTTACCGGCTGCACAATCAGCTCTGCGCGCATCAAGCAGTCGGAGCAGTTCTGCAGCAGCTCCTGGATGGTGTTCTGGTTCTGGTGCCGCGACATCGTTCCAGTTTGACTGAGGGGGCAAACACAGACACCACACATGAAGTCACCTCTTTTTTCAATTTTGAAATAACTTTAAACTTTCAGACAAATTACAAAACGGGACAAAAACACTCCAGTGCGCGACCAGCAGGTGTTGAGGTGTTGTGGTGGTTAAGGCGCTGGGCTCCCCCGTGGCCGATGATGGCCTGAACCCAGCAGCGTGTGTGTGTGTGTGTGTGTGTGTGTGTGTGTGTGAGAGAGAGAGAGAGAGAGAAAGACTGACTGCGTGCCAAAAATCTCCAGAGGAGAATGGAGAAGAGACTGCAATGTGGTCATCTCCCTGAGGGGGCTGGGAGGTGCCATGGTGGTTAAAGGTGCTGGACTCCCATATGGCCGACAGTGGTTCAAATCCCAAACCTGGCAGTTCGCTTTCTCACTTGCCCTCTCTTTATTTCTCTGACCGAACTGAAAAATAATAATAATAAAAAAGTTAAATAAAAATAATTCTTTCTTTTTTTTTTTTTAAATAAAAAAGGCCTCATGAATATCCTATAAGAAGCCAGAGAGCCTCAGAGGGCTTCAGCCGGGCCCAGCCTGTGCTTTTATAATTGGATGCCTGTCTGACAATGAAATTTTCTCGTTTCTTCTATAAGAGAGACGCAGAACACCCTCAACGGGGTCACCATGTCACAATCCACCTCTAATGCCAGCCAACCCAGGTAGCAGAAGGGAACCTTGCCTGCTCTGCAGCGTCCTGGGACTTGAACCCCAGACCTCCCTAAGCAATTCCAGCTGTGTTACCCCCGAGTTACCCCCCAGCCCTCCCAACTGTCTCTGCCATATGTATGTGTGTGTCTGCATGTGTGTATGTGTGTTCAGGAAAGAATTTCGCTGTTTGAATAAATAAATAGAAGCCTGGAAAACAATGGCTTCATTATGCCTAGCTGGGGCAGGTTCACAAGAATGTGGGAACTTCTCCCACGGCGCCCAACTCTGCCTCATCTCATCACGGCCAAGCACCTTCCGTCTCTTTCTGCCACCTATGTGAGGTCCCGCCCAGCAAGCGAGGCTCCCCACAAGTCAGCACAAGCTGAATGTGGGTGGGGAACCAGACCTCCCTGGGAACCACGCCCAAATGACGGCACAGGCTCCCACAGACAGGCCCAGGCAATGTCCCCTAACTGTCCACCTCTGCAAACCAGGGCCGCCTCCCCCGTCCTGCCCCTCTCATGAAGACAGCCAGTCTCTCTCTCCCTCAGAATAATAAGGACATCGAGCATAATTCTCGTACAGCTGAGATATAAACACGACTGCATCTGTTGTCCTAACTTGTGCGAAATTCCAACTGCGTTAGACAAGAATACTTTCCAAAGGTACCTGTTATAAAATAGAGGAAAACGTCAAGAGACAAAGGAAGAACTTAAGCAATACAGAAACCTCATTTGGAACTACAATGAACAATGAATTAGGAAGGTCGTGGGCCATTATCTTTGTTTTCTTTATGGAAAGGGAATAGAACTACTTTCTTTTTTTTCTTTTTTATTGCTAGAAGGCATATACGCTCAGCAGAGAGAAAATATCCCTCAATGAAGCATCTCATGCCTCAATCCCTTATCCTCCATTTCTCTATCGTGTCTCTATTTGGGACACGAGCGCACACTTTTTTCAAGATACCAGGGCAAGGATTCAAACCACAGTCCACCATGTAGAATCTAGTTCCTTAACAACTACTACAGGGCCAACCCAATGAGTACCTTTCTTCTGAAACATTCTGAAATTCTTATCAGCAATTCAGGTTTGAGGTTGGTCCCCACGAAGAAAGTCAGTCCCAAGAACACAAATCAAAAAAAAGCTGGGGCCAGCCATGTTCATGGTAGTTGAGAAGGATGAATCCCACATGGGCGATTGGAGGGTTCGAGTCCCAGACCCGGTGTCCTGAAAAACACTTCAGGCATGTGTGCGTTATCCAAGAGGAAGATGGAAGAGAAGGGAGCATGGCATGGCCATCCCCCCAAGGAGTGATTTCTCACTTTCTCACTGTCTCTCTCTCTCTCTCGGCTCTCACTGTTTTATTCTGGCAGGCAAACACACCCTATAGCAAAAACTTAAAAAAAAAAATAAGCAGGGTTATCTCTTAGTACACCAGAAAGTCAGATTTCCTTAAATGATTTAATAATATGTGCTACTGGAAAAACTACGCCAACATGAGCTGTAAGACAGACAGCGGAAACTAAGTAATGGGGCCATATGAACTTTGTACTGTCTTTGCAACATTTCCATGTATCTAAACTATTCCAAAATAAATGCACTCAAAGAAAGAAAGAAAGAAAGAAAGAAAGAAAGAAAGAAAGAAAGAAAGAAAGAAAGAAAGAAAGAGGGAGGAAAGGAAAGGAAAGGAAAGGAAAGGAAAGGAAAGGAAAGGAAAGGAAAGGAAAGGAAAGGAAAGGAAAGGAAAGGAAAGGAAAGGAAAGGAAAGGAAAGGAAAGGAAAGGAAAGGAAAGGAAAGGAAAGGAAAGGAAAGGAAAGGAAAGGAAAGGAAAGGAAAGGAAAGGAAAGGAAAGGAAAGGAAAGGAAAGGAAAGGAAAGGAAAGGAAAGAAAAAAGAGAAAAAAAGAAAAGAAAGACACAGGGAAGTCAAACTCCACTATGAATAGATCATTTTTTTCTTCCTTCTTTGTATGAGAGAGAGGGTGAAAAAGAGAAAGGGAAACAGATGAGTATTTTGGCAGGACGTCGCCATGTCACAATCCTCCCACCCCACCCCAGCCTGCCAGTGAGCTGGGTCAGACACACCCTGTGTGTTCAGGTTGGCCTAGAAACCGAGCGGGGCCTCCCACGTGGCCTCCAGCCTTTCAAACAGTGGTGCCACCTGTTCACCACCACGCCCAGGCCCATCCTTGTCTTTTCGGAGTCAATGAATAAGACCAAATCTATATGACCACCAAATATAAAATTCACCAGTTTCTGTTTACCCGACTTCTAGAGTAGTTACTTACATGATGTGTAAAAGTGAATCGCATTCAGGAAAAGGGGGAAGGGAAACCAGTAAAAGTTGGCTGAAAGCATTGGTGGGTTTTCTCCATGGTATTTTCTTTCTTCCCTCTTAGCTAGGGCAGACATTCCTACTTCTATAATAGAAACCAGTTGGCATCTCTATAGAGACAAGACACCTACGGTTTCCCCTCACCTGCACACACCTGAACTTCAAAAAAGAAACCAGGTAATTCCATATGCTTTATCAAAACATTAACAAAAAACAAATTCATGCTTTACTTAAAGAAGTGGCATGTTTACCGTAACATGTCCTGGTTACACTCTAAAACCTTTTTATGGGTTTTTGTTTTGCGTTTGGTTTTTGGTTTTTGCTATAGGGCATGTACACTCATAAAGAGAGAGAGAGAGAGCGGGAACGTGAGAAATCACCCCCAGAGGGGATGGCCAGGTCATAATTCCTTCCCCTCCATTCTCCTCTTGGGATTTTAGCATGCACGCACTCATGCCTGGAGTGTCCTTCAAGCCACCAGGTCCAGGACTAGAACCATGCAGTTAGCCAGGTGGGAGCCAGCTGCCTTAATCTCTGTGAGACCTACTGGCCCACCCTCACCTGTTCTTTTGCACTGTGAGAAGATTAACAATTGGATGGGAAAGAGGAACACACAAGAATCAAAATGCTTTACAGGTCAAACAAATGCAAAGATAATGAGTTGGAAGGATAAATTAAGACTCTTTAGAAAGTAGGACCTTGATTAAGCAAATTCCATCTTATACATAACTTTGCAAGATGATCAGATCTTGCCTTACTTATTTTTCATCCCTAGGAATCCCACTTCAGTCTGAGCTGTGGTCAAAAACACCCTTTGGATACAGATGAGAGAATGGGTACTAGGTGTCTACGTTGGGAATGGCTCTGTCCCTCAGAACAAGCCGAGAGGAGGAGAGCCTCAGCTAACTGAAATGCAAAACATATAAAAGACCCCAGAGAGAGAGCAGCAGTTAGCACAATGGCTATGTCACTGAACTCCCATGTAGTTGACCGCGGTTCGAGTCCTGGACCCAGTGGCTTAAACTCATACCGGGCGCATGTGTGTGCATGCCCAAGATCTCAAGAGGAGAATGGAGGAGAAGGGATTGTGGTGTGGCCATCTCCCCTGGGGGGTGATTTCTTGCTTTCTGTCTCTCTGGCGAGCACATGCGCCCTGTAGCAAAAATCTCTCAAAAAAAAAAAAAAACAGAGAAGAGCCACCAGGAGGCATGATGGTTAAGGTGGCATGATGGTTAGGGCATTGGACCTCAACAACATGACTGACAGCTGTTCAAGTCCCAACTCAGTGGCCCGAAAATCACACCAGGCGCATGTGCGTGCATGCCCAAAATCCAAAAGGAGAATAGAGAAGGGATTGCGGCGTGGCCATCCCCCACTGGGGGGTGATTTCTCGCTTTCCTTCTCTCTGTCTGTCTATCTCCTGTGAGCACATGCACCCTATGGGAAAAAAAGCTAAAACCAAAAAGAGACCCCAGAGAAGAGAATCTACCTTGACATTTCGGTTTGCTCCTGCATAGCCCAGTGAAGAAGCCACACAGAACTGGAAGTAGTCCTGTCCTGAACTGAAGAAGGAAGCAGGGAGAAAGAACGCTGACCCATTAGGTCAGCCAATGTCAGACATTCAACAGCTGGGCATTCTGCCTGGGTTTTCAGCCAGGAGACCACAGACAGCTTGTTTCGGGAAAAAGGTACATGATTTAAAAGTTGTGTGTAATTCAAAACCTTGAAAATCAGATCATACTGGTTTATTTTTATTGACCTAACTTTGAGGTCTAATCATTGACTTAATTTTAGATCATTGTTTGATCTCAGAAATGTTTTAGACCTCAGTTTTCTCATCTGTTGGACTAGACGATATTAAAGTGTCTTCACCTCACTCGTTCAGCAATTAAAGAGTCAAACCCATTCTTCTTCATTGAAAATAACCATAGTCCAGCAGGTAGCATAGTGTTTAAGGCACTGGACTCCCACATGGTTGACTGCGGTTCA